AATAACAAGAGTTGTGGGAAACCCCCAGGGAGACAGGAGGAGCCTGGGACCTGGTGACAGAAAGACTGACTAAGAGGGGATGAGGGCCAGGCATCTCCAGCAGGGCGTGGGGCTAGGGAGACCTTTCTAGTTATGCCGTCCTCTCTGCAGGGACTGCAGGCAGGAAAACAGCCCCTCAAGGCCAACAGAAGTTTGCGAGAGTGGTGCTGGACCCTGGCCAGGTTCGGGAGTGGAAACAACAGGTTCTTTCCTCTGCCCTGAGACCAGAGTACTATGACCTAAGGGGAAGTTCCTGCCTTGACAGAGGAACATGGAGACTCCCTAATGGGTAAGGACCCACGGTTGAGAGTAGGTAGGAAACAGAGAATGGATGAGTCCAGATTTTAACACTGGAGTCTCTCTACGCTAAGGTCTGAGTCTCCCACCATCCCCACCGCCCCCTTATCTTTGCCCTGTACACACTCCTTAACTCAACAAAAGGGGCACATCTTGGGGAATAGGCTTTCATCCTCCTCCCAGGTCATGACCAAGTAGAATTTACCCCAGGAAAGTAAAGTTGGTTTAATACTCCAAAATCAATCAATGAAATTTGCCATAACTAAGAAAAATGGTATGATCTCTCATTACATGCAGAAAGATCATCTGACAAAATCCAACCTCCATTACTGATTGATTATTTTTTTTAAAAAATGTGGGGCTTCCCTGGTGGCGCAGTGGTTGAGAGTCTGCCTGCCGATGCAGGGGACGCAGGTTCGTGCCCCGGTCCGGGAAGATCCCACGTGCCGCGGAGCGGCTGGGCCCGTGAGCTATGGCCGCGGAGCCCGTGCTTCCGGAGCCTGTGCTCCTCAACGGGAGAGGCCACAACAGTGAGAGGCCCGCGTACCACAAAAAAAAAAAAAAAAAAAAAAAAAAAAAAAAATAGGGAATTCCCTGGCAGTCCAGTGGTTAGGACTCGGCGCTTTCACTGCCGAAGCCCAGTTCAATCCTGGGGCAGGGAACTAAGATCCCAGAAGCCTCGAAGTGCAGCCAAAAACAACAACAACAGCAACTAAAAATAGAGTTACTATATGATCCAGCAATCCCACTCCCGGCATACAGCCAGAGAAAACCGTAATTCAAAGAGATACATGCACCCCAATGTTCATTGCAGCACTATTTACAATAGACAAGGCATGGAAGCAACCTAAATGTCCATCGACAGATGAATGAAGATGTGGTATACATACACAATGGAATATTAGTCATGAAAAAGAATGAAATAATGCCATTTGCAGCAACATGGATACACCTAGGGATTATCATACTAAGCCTGATGTAGGTCAGACAGAGAAAGACAAATATCATATGATATCACTTATATGCCGAATCTAAAATCTGATACAAATGAATTTACTTGCAAAACAGAAACAGACCCACAGACATAGAAAACAAACTTATGGTTACCAAAGGGGAAAGGGAAGAGAGGCATAAATTAGGAGTTTGGGATTAACCTATACACACTACCATATATAAAATAGATAACCAACAAGGTCTTACTGTATAGCACAGGGAACTATATTCAATATCTTGTAATAAACCATAATGGAAAAGAATCCAAAGGAGAATATATATATGTGTGTGTACATATATGTGTATATATATATATATGTAACTGAATCACTTGGCTGTACACCTGAAACTATTACAACATTGTAAATCAACTATATGCCAATTAAAAATAAATTAATGCTGATTCTTTTTTAAAATTTATTTATTTTTATTGGAGTATAGTTGATTTCCAATGTTGTATTAGTTTCAGGTGTACAGCAAAGTGATTCAGTTATACATACATATATATCTATTTTTTTTCAGATTCTTTTCCCTTATAGGTTATTACAAAATATTGAGTAGAGTTCCCTGTGCTACACAGTAGGTCGTAGTTGATTATCTATTTTACGTATAGTAGTGTGTATAAGTTAATCCCAAACTCCTAATTTATCCCTCCCTCCCCTTTCCCCTTTGGTAACCATAAGTATGTTTTCTTTCTTTTTTTTTTTTAATAAATTTATCTAGTTATTTTTGGCTGCGTTGGGTCTTTGTTGCTGCGTGCGGGCTTTCTCTAGCTTCGAGGAGCGGGGGCTACTCTTCATTGCGGTGCGCAGTCTTCTCATTGCAGTTGCTTCTCTTGCCGCGGAGCGCAGGCTCTAGGCATGCGGGCTTCAGTAGTTGTAGCTCGTGGGCTCTAGAGCGCAGGCTCAGTAGTTGTGGCACATGGGCTTCGTTGCTCCACGGCATGTGGGATCTTCCCAGATCAGGGCTCGAACTCGTGTCCCCTGCATTGGCAGGCGGATTCTTAACCACTGAGCCACAAGGGAAGTCCCCGTAAGTTTGTTGTCTACGTCTGTGAGTCTATTTCTGTTTTGCAAATTAAGTCATTTGTATCAGATTTTAGATTCAGCATATAAGTGATACCATATGATATTTGTCTTTGTCTGACTTCCTTCAGGCTTAGTATAATAATCTCTAGGTCTATCCACGTTGCTGCAAATGGCATTATTTCATTCTTTTTTGTGACTAATATTCCATTGTGTATGTATACCACATCTTCATTCATCCGTCGACGGACATTTAGGTTGCTTCCATGTCTTGGCTACTGTAAATAGTGCTGCTCTGAACATTGGGGTACACGTATCTTTTTGAATTATGGTTTTCTCTGGATGTATGCCCGGGAGTGGGATTGCTGGATCATATGGTAACTCTGTTTTCGTTTTTTTAAGGAACCTCCATACTGTTCTCCATAGTAGCTGCACCAATTTACATTCCCACCAACAGTGCAGGAAGGTTCCCTTTTCTCCACACCCTCTGCAGCATTTATTATTTTCAGACTTTTTGATACTTTTTTGTAGTTTTGATTTAATGCGGATTCTCTTAAAAAAAAACAAAAACAAAAAAAACAGAAAAAACCTCTCTGCAAACGAGGGATAGAAGAGAATTTCTTCAAACACGGCAAAGGGCATCTACAAAAAAAGCCCTATCACTGACATCATAAGAGTGAAAGACCGAATGATTTCTCCCTAAGACCAGGAACAAAGCAAGTGTGTCCTTTTCTGTTATTTCTATTAAGCATTGTACTGGAAGTTCTATCGGTGCAGTGAGGCAAGAAAAAGAAATTAAAGGCCTCAAAATTTGAAAGGAAGAAGTAAAACTGTCTTTGTTCACATACAATATGATCACATACATAGAGAATTCTAGGGAATCCGTAAAAAAGCTACCAGAACTAATAAGTGAGTTTAGTAAGGTTGCAGCATACAAGGCCCAAATACAAAGATGTTGTGTTTCTGGGACTTCCCTGGTGGCGCAGTGGTTAAGAATCCGCCTGCCAGCGCAGGGGACATGGGTTCGAGCCCTGGCCTGGGAAGATCCCACATGCTCTGATCCAAGCTGCCACTCCCACTGTTCTCATCTAAGGGCAGCCATCCTCACCTTTGCCCCTTGGCCCATGGAGAAAGGAAGGTGCAACCATCGGCCTGGTGGCTCCCCACATAGAACCCCAAATAATCACGCTGTCACGGCCCCTGTGGTCCTTCTGCTGTTTGTGCCACCTCTAGGCGTGGAGCTCTGTGCAGAATTCTCCCACAGGTGCCCTGCTTTGAGGATTCTGAGTGTGATCTCCCATCTGTTTTCGGTCCTTTCTGAAATCCTGCTGTTTCTAGTCTATTGGGTGTCCCCCTTCTTCAAATGGAACTATGTATGTTGTTTATTTGCATGTTTGGCTGGGGTTTTTTTTTACCTCTATTATTCCTATGAATTTGGTCCAGGAGAATCAAGATTGCAGTAATGTAATCAGTTCAGTCCACCACCTTGAAACAGGTGCCTTCTCTCTTCCTGTCTCCCCACCCCCTTCCCAGGTCACTTTCTTCCTCCATGACCCTGACCCAACTCCGAACACCCGGCCCTGCAACCAGGAACTCAGGAAGCTGCCAGACCTTCCTAGGAAGAGAATTCCAGAGCTGCTTGGTCTTCTTGGTGTTCATTAGTTTTACCCCAGTCACCGTCAGATGTTAACTTCTGGGTTCTAAAGTGGAGTCCGAAGCCCACCGTGACCCGCCCCTCGGGAGTCCTTCATCCCAGGTAGAGCCCAGCATGGGTTTTGTGAAAATAGACTTTATTATAATAAAATGTCTCTTTAAACAAATGCCCCCACCATTCCACACCCCTGGAGACCAAGGTGGTGGTGGGGGGGGGGCATTCAGTCCAACAATCAATCTCCCACCACAGCAAAGGAAACATGCAGAGACCGCCCACCCAGCCGGAGGGGGAGGGGGAGGGAGGTGGCTAGGGTAAGGGGGGAGAGCCCCCCACCCCAATCTGAACAGGGAATGTATGAAAATAGCTGCATAAATCTGTCCTCTTCCCCAGGCCTCCGACTCCAACAGGGGCCAGAGGAAAACGATGCAAAAGAGAAGTTGAATCTGATGAGCAAAATAAGGCAAACCCAGCTCCTGCTTTCTGCCCGCTGGCCCGGGGCTCAGGCCAGGAGGGCGGCTGGCAGGAGGGGAGCGCTACAGCCAGGGTCAGGCCCGCTTTGGCTTGGCCTTTGTCCTTCCCGGGCCTGTGCAGTGGAAGGGAGATGAGGAAGCTGGGCTGAGGCACTGAGTATGTACATATATACACGGCTCCACCCCCCTGCCCACCCCGGGGTGGGGGGCTCGGCAGAATCCAGTGCAAACTCTCCTTCAGGGAGGGAAGACTTGATGAGGATGGCCAGCGCCGTCGGAAGGAACAGGGTCCCCGGGCCAGGCGTGTGGAGGCCAAGAAGGGACTCGCGTGGCATGCTGGACACCAGGCGGGGGTGGGAGAAGCAGGAGTCACGAGTCCACATCCAGGCCTGGCTCTGTGACCCAGGTGCTCAGCCCCTGTGGCCGACTCGCTTCCGCACGCTGCGGCCCAGGCTGCCCTCCTGTCAGAGGAAGATGCCCATCCAGAGGACTCATCCGCAAGGGCTCATCTAGCTCCGACCTTCACCGAGTAGAATTCCCATCCGAGTGCCAGAGCGCTGGCTCGGGAGAACGAGAGTCCAGGGCATTCCGCAAGCAGCCAGGACGGTGTGCCGGGGCCTCGGGCCTGCAGGACGGGCCGCAGCGTCGCTCCTTCTTCCCAGAGCCCAGTTTCCTGAGATGCTTCCCCTTGGAGAGGAGACCCCACACCTTCTTGCTCGGGCCCTGTGGTGCCCCCCATTCAATCCCGGAGAAGCGGCCAGGGCCGGGAGCACAGGGCCAGCCTGGGGGCGCTAGGGGCCCTTGGGTTGAGCTGGCCCAGGGCTAGAATGGGGGAGAAAAGGGGCAAGGTCAGGGCCTGACGGCCAACCCAATCCGCCTCCGTTCCGCCACAACCTCAGGGGCCTGCAGACCCCAGGTCACGGAACCGCGGTCGTGAACCAAAACCCACCGCCTGGCTACTGCCCCCCACAGAGCACGGAGAGGCAAATGGGCACAGTGATGCTGAGGGAGCACTGAGCTGGGAGTCGGAAGGGACGGACGTGGAGTCTCATTTCTGCTCTGTTCACTTGGACCTGGGCAAGTCCCTCCCCTTCTCTGGGTTTCTCTGTAGGATGCTGGGCTCAAGAGTCCTTGGACTTGACCCTCGGCTTGGGCGCTCCAAATCCCCCACGTCATCCCCTCCCAACCGAAGGCAAAGCAGGGACAGAGACGCTGGAGGGAGCCATACACTCCAGGAACGATGGTTCCTGCACCAGCGCACAGACGGAAGGAGCAGGCCCGCACAGGCCAGCAGACGCGGTGTCCAAGAGCCTCCAGGGAGTGGAGGAGTGCCCACCCCATGGGGAGGAGACGGAGACTCTTCCTTGAATGGCCCCTGAGAGGGCTGCAGGGAGCCCGGGGCCAGAGGGGACTCACGGTTGGGCGGCGCTCCGCGCCCACCACAGCTCTGGAGGCTGCTGCCCCTCCCTTAGCACGTCTCCCTTGCAGAATCTATCTCCTCCTCGCTCTGTTTGCCACGGTGAGTGGCTCCCTCTGCCACAGGCCCACCCAGACTGTGCTGTTAGTGGCCTAAGAACAGCGGCTGGGTGAGCAAGAGAGCCACGAGCAAGCCTCCCCGCTACCCGCCAAACTCCCACATCCACTCTGCGACCTCCGGTGCCTGGTACAGCCCCGTCCGCTCCTGTCAGCCTGTGTGTTCTCCATCCCCTGCCCCCCACTCCCTTCCTCAAACCCCCGCTTCCACCAGCGCCTGGCAGTCTGCTGGCAGGTGCTGGGTGCCCAGCCTGGGGCCCGCCCTCACCTAAGACCCTGGTGATGTGGCAGGGCCGCCCACAAAGAGCTCTGCTAGCGCCCAGAGGTCAAAGAGTCTCTTGCCAACTAGTCAGAGCTGATGGCTGGCCGGGGTGGGGCGGAGGGGAGGTAGGCCCTTCCCACCCACTCCCAGGGCTCCCAGGAGGGAGGGGTTGCTGGGGAAACAAATGGAGGGAGTCTCTGAGCCCCAGAGATGAATGGTCTGGGGTTATCTACGGACTCCAACTGTTTAAGCCTCCCCTTTTATGCCCCCCAGCGGAGAAAATGGAGAGTTGGACATAAAATCATGCATCTGATTCCCTAATAGGTCATGATACAGAGGAGACTGTGGTGGAAGAGACTGTTATTACTGGTGGCGTTAGTGTCATCCTTCTGTCACCAATAATAATCCCAATATTATAATACCATAGTCGTATAGTATCATAATATACTGATGAGCCATATGAATGTCACATAATATTCTATAAGCCACATGTGCTATAGAATATGAGCACTCAGCTAATATGGGACATTATATTCTAGGGTGACATGTATTCCTGTGGCAGCTGGCATTGCCCAGAGTAAGGCAAGGGGAGGGGCTGATCCTAGGCCCAAATCTGGCTCACGGCAAGAGCTCCGTCCCCTGTTCCCTGGAAGAAGGTGGAAAAGCCAGTTCAGCTCCGGTGTCTGAGACAAAGGAGCGCCATCTGAGGATGGTGACACGAGGAGTAGGGTGGCGTGGACATAGGGGCCGGTCCCCACTTACACGTCGCTTTCTCTGCGTATATCTATCTCCATCTAGCACTGGGCTGTTCTCCTCGTTCTCTGAAGAACAGGGAACAAAGAGAGGAGATGGGTTACGGCCAGACCGTACGCTCTCCACCCGGTCACCAGGTCGCCCAGGCCACCAGGCCTTAGGGGCAGGTGCTGCTTTGCATAGCCCCTGCCTTTGGAACGATTGCACATGGAGACCCAGGGCTTTCCGGTTGGCGCCTGGCCTCCTCACCCTCTCCCTGCCCCGTGAACCTGGAGCTTAATTGTACCCCACCCACCCAGGAAGCTGGGCCTTGCTGGGCAGCTGGCTTTAAAAGGAACCTGGGAGACAGAGAGATGCAGCAGTGGGGTGGGGAGGGTCCCTGTACCAGGGGCTATGACAGCTAGAGGTGTGGGAGGCTTGAGGGTCCTTTTCCACAGGGCCCCTCACCTGCACTGGCCGGGGGGTGTGGGCAGCTGGGGATCAAGGTCTCGGCCTCACCCCACTGCACAGAGGGGCACACCCTGGGAGGGAGCCACCCCGACTGGGCTCCCTCTGGCGGTAGCTCGCAGCCCCGCCCTGCGCGCAGTGCGCACCCGGACCACTGCCCGGCTGCACTCCTCGCACGGCGCCATCCTGCCCACCCCTGCCCCCCTCCAACCACACCAGCAGCATAGGGACCCAACCGCTCAGCCGGGAGCCCAGGTCCTCACTGACCTGCCCCTCGGCCGGGGGTGTCCCGGGCTCCCTGTCTGAGCCGCCTGCCTCAGGCCCAGGGCCCTCCAAGAAGTTGGATGGAACCAGGCCCCGCTGTCCATTCAGTTCCCCCTGGGGAGGAGATGCTGAGACTAAGACCAGGAGAGGCCTCACCCCCACCCCCTTGACCCTGAAGCCCCCGGGGGACGGCCTGGGGTCAACGTCACTATCATGGGAGGCTACCTGGCCCATTCCTCCGGGCTTCCATCAGGGACCCTTGCTCATCCCCCTCCCCGGCTCTGGGAGAGGCCTCTCCCCACCCCCATGTTCTCACATAGTAGAAACCATCATCGTCCATGCCCCCGAACACAGTGATGACGTCCCCTGCCCGGAAGGGCAGCTCTGCCTATGGAGAGACCAAGAGGCATGTGTCAGGCCCGGGGAGGCCCTGCCACCGCCCAGCTTGGCTGGGCTCTATCTGAGGGTCCTCACCTCCACATCCATGTTTGGGGAACTCTCCCGGGGGTTGTAGTCAAATGCAGCCACCATGGAGCAGGGAGCTTTCAGGCCAGCAGAGGAGACCGGCTGGGGGGCGCCTGGAGGGGGAGGGGGAGAAGGCTCAGGACTCTCTCTAGACCCTCCCGCACCCCCCACTATCCTTGGCACTGGAGGCCTGCTGACCCCTATTCACCACCTGCCCGCTAGTTGTAGCCCCTGGGGAGAGGTCGGAGGGGCTGCCCCGCCCCATCTCTCTCCCGAGTCTCCACTGCACAGGGATGGCCCCTCACCTGCACAGGGCTGGGCAGGGCCTTCCGACTCAGCTGCGGAGAGAATATGACTGTGAGCCCCTGCCCCTCACAGCCCTCTTCTTTGGGGGCGGGGGAGGGGGGGCTGGTGCAGGGCAGCCTCACACAAGGGATGCAGGAGGACGCTCGGAGAGCGCATCAGCCCAGCCCTTTGGTTTTCGTAGCGAACTAAGGCCCGGAAAGGGTAAGTGACTCGCTCCAGCTGGCAGAGAATTTATAGTCCGGTACTTTCTGGAACAGAGGTGCCAGCAAACCACTCCCCATCTCCATTAGAATGAAGCTGCCCACTGGAGGGGTGGCTGGGGATGAAGGTCTGGCCCGATTCCCCGAACCTGCTCAAGACCTCCCATGTGTCTCCCCAGGGAGCCACGTAGTGTCCCCACCCTCCCATCCTCACAGGGCCCCGAGGGAGAAGGGGGTCTCACCCACCTTTCTTGGAGCGGCGGGGCTTGGGGGGAGGCCCAGCTGTGCGAGCTGTGGAGTAGACAAAGGGACCGCTCCCTGGTCCAGGAAGGCAAGCAGATGTCAGAGAGAAGCCGAGGCGAGGGAGGGAGATGGGCAGTGGCTTCAATCTTCTCTCGGGGCTGTACCAGGGCTCCTGCACTAGAGCGTCTATGGGCATTCCTCTCTCATCCCCCAGCTCCCGGATCCAAAATACAGGGCCCGTCCCCTCGGCAGTGAACCCCCATTCCAGGCGGCAAGCTCACTGCTGCGGCCACGCTGGCCTCAGTCTCTGAGGGCCCCAGTGGCTCTGCCAGACCCTGGACCAAGCAGGCACCTCGGCCACTCCAGACATACAAACTGCTCTGGGCGGGGGCGGTGTTGGAGTTGGCACCGTGGTGGCAGGAAGTGGGTGGGGGACAGGAGCAGGTCATACCTGAACGCTCAACGAGAACATCTGGGGACAAATAGCCCCGCTGGAGCAGCTGCTGTCTCCCTGCAGGACTGTCCGCAGTCACCTCGGACACCATGTTGCAGGGGATGTAGCCCATCCGGCCCCCGCCTTCACCCCGATAGAAGCCATCGGCATCCTTGTCCCCAAACACCTGGACGCGAAGGAGACCCGTTGTGTCAGGAGGCCAGTCCAGCTTGCTCCCTGCACCCCGAGGCCCCGAGCTCACAGCACCACACTTGGGACTGCAGGAGAGTGCTCTCTACCTTTTGTGGAACAGGAGATAGGGGGAAATAGCCAAGAACACGGATCAGAGGGATGACAGGAAACAGTCCTTTCCGTGTGGTCGTCACCCACTATCTGCACATCCATCCCCCCAGTCCAGCCCAGACGAGATCCCCCTGACCTCAGAGCAATAGCCGAAAGCCTTCAATAAATACTTGGAGGCACAATAAAAGTTACAATGCTAACAGCAGCAGTTTTCACATTGTGTTATGCGCCAGGCAGTTTCAGGGCTCTATGGGTACAGAAGCATTTCATCCTCAAACAACCCTGTGAGGTAGACACTTAACATTATCTCCATTTCGCCAATGAGGCCCAGAGGAGTTAGCTAATCTCAACGTTTCACAGCTAGATGTGGCAGAATCAGGACCCAACCCCACATCGCCTGGCTCTAGAGGCTGTGTTCTCACCCACGCGTGGCTATTGTACCCCCAGCGCAGGAAACGAGGGAGGAAGGAGGACCAGACGGTGGGTCAGTCACCTTCAGGATCTGGCCCTCCTGGAAGGGGAGCTCCTCTTCCCCGGCATCAGGGTTGGGAGACATTGACACGGGGTCATAGTCAAACAGAGCCACAAAGACCCTGACAGGTAGGTCCTGGTAAGCCAGTGCTTCTTCTGGAGGGCTCCCCGGAGGGGCTGTCGGGGAGAGCAGTGGCAATGAGCTCTGGCCGAGGGGGCAGGAAAGCCCCCTCAGCCTGGCCCAGCCCCCCCACAGGTGCTCACCCAGCTCCGCGGAGCCTGGCCTGGGGGCCCGGCCCCCTCTCCGCTGGGGGCCCCTCCGCCCACAGCCGTCCTGCCCTCTGGGCTCCCCAGTCTCTGTTGCCTGCAAAGAGAGGTCAACAGACGGCAGAAGTGACACACTGCCCCTCTGGCGGGCACCTCAGCAGGGGCGGGACCCCGCAAGCGCTCCCCCAGCTCTGCCCCGTCAGCAAAAGCGGCACAGCAGAGCAGGGACACACGTTCCTCTCCTGGAGCCGTGGCCCAACCTCGCTGGAGGCATCAGACACCCCCACGTGGGGAGGAAGGGCAGGAGGGGAGGCCCAGCTCCGGCCACCTTAGCAGATGAGTGCAGTAGAGGGACTAAGGTTAGATCTGAGAGTTGGCCGAGGAGCGTGGGAGAGGAGCGCCTCTTCTCGGTGTCAGGGCTGGGTGATGCCGGACATCACAGTCAGTGTCCTGAAGACGTAACTAGCTAAGCAGAGGAAAGGGCCCCCCGGCCCAAAGGCAGAGGGCCGGCTGGCGGCAATTGGCGACTTATGGCCACAGAATATTGTGCATCCCAGTTCCGACTGGCAGAAGCAGCAAAGCAGTGGAATGTGGGTGGGGAGAGGCAGGTGAGGGAGCCCGGAGGCCCAGCCCCACCTCTGCTGATGGAGACGGCAGCGTGGAATGGGAGCGGCCGGTGGGCAGCAAGCAGGGCCACCAGGCGGCAGCAGGCAGGGGGCTGCCCAGGGAGGGGAGAGGGCACGGACCCGGGAGGGTGACTCCTTGGCTCTGCCAGTTGCACTGCGGCTTCTCCGCTCTGGCTCCCCTTTCTCCCAGGCCGGGAGGCGTGGGTAGGGGTTGGGGCCTGAATTGGCCTTCGGAGGCCCCCTGGGCCTTCCCGTGGGTGCTGCACCCCACGCCTCCCCATCTCCAAGGTAGCAGGAGCTGGTGACGCTGATGCCCCCGCCGCCCGTCTCTTGCTCATCCTCAGAATCATATTCGATGCTGATTTCCAAGCACTTGGGGGAGAGGCAGCTGGCCAGGCCCGATTCTGGGGCTGGGCCACGGGGGCACCTCCTCCAAGGGGCCGGCCGCCCTCTCCCACCGGCCTCCGGTCCAGCCCTGGTGCCCTCGCCCACGGGGGAGCCGCCCCTCTCCCGGGCGGGGCCTGGTCGTCCAGAGGCCTGGGACCCGCCGCTGCTGAGAAGACGGCTGCAGTGCTCACGGGGATCTGGGGACCGCCTGCGGCTGGGGGGCTTCTCGGGGGAGCCACTTCCTTTTCTCCAGCTGCTGCCACCAACTAGTCCAGGCATGTCCTCCAGGCGGTCCCCAGCCCTGGAGGGCTCGGGAGACAAAGGACATAGGCCAGGCCCTCGGGGCCGACCGCTGTCACAGCCCAGCCCCAGGAGCGCAGGCTCGGGCGGCGGGGGGTTCCGGGAGGAAGGGCCTGCCCCCCGCCTCTTCTCGTCCTCTCCGTCCTCTTCCTCCTCCTCCTCAGGGATGCTGAAGAGCTTCTTGCTGCAGAACTGCTGGAGAGGCAGCTCCAGGATCCGCTCCAAGATCTCCTCGTCGCTGTCAGTCTCACAGAAGGGGTCGGGCTGGGGCGGGGGGTGGA